AAATGTTCTATGATGAATCTAATGAAATTATGTTCTTCAGCTAGGACATTTTCACTAATATTGTCTGATACTGAACTTTTTATATAGTAATATTTTCATGCGGTTATATAATAATGTTTTAACAATATATGAACATAATTACAATATTCACTGTATTAGAAATGTCCTCCCTAAGACAAATTCTTGGACGATCGTTGTCGTCATTGGTGTGTTACACTAGTAAAAAATTCTTTCCTAATTACTTCGAGTCTATGAACTCATAATTCTGATCTCATAAATGATTTCATCAGGCAATTGGATATGTAGAATAACCTCTTCACCACAACTAAAATAAGCGGAATATGCCCAGTTAAAATGTGAACGTAGCATATTATGAGAAAATTATGTGTGTGCACTAAAATCTAACAACTTTACATTTATATAATTAAAACTCCTAACCATTTAGTGGCTTTTCAATGAATATGTTTCATTACCTTTCAATATATATATATATATATATATATATATTATACTAGAATACAAAGCAAGAGATCTAGAACCATGAGGTCGTCCTCATTCTTAATATTGGTTTTGGCAATTTAAGGAAGGATGACAACACAAAGCAAGAGATCTAGAACCATTGCTGATACTTATGAAGAAGGAGGAAAAAAAAAAAGCAGCTCATGGACTATTAGTAGGGTCATGACCATCACACTAAAATTTAAGATGAAATTAAAAGAGAGGAGAAAAAAAAGGCTATGGACAAAAAAGAGAAAAAAAGGTTATGGACAAAAAAGAGAAAAAAAGGTAAAGAAGAAAAATAAGAAAATAAATAAGAAAATAAAAAGGAAAAAAAGAGCTAGTACTAAAAGAAAAAATAATGCTCATGGACTAGCTAGTAACAGGGAAAGAAAAATGATTATGGGCTAGCTAGTACTGGGGAAAGAAGATAATTTAAGAAGCTTTCATGATATTCACACTACGATGATTATGGGTTATGGGCACGTGATATTCACGTGTGTATTCGTTTTTTAAATTCTTGTGTGAAGATCTAAAAAAGTTTCTTAAAAATCTAGTTTTTTTCCCCTTAATTTGTTACTCTCTTAAAATTTTAATTTAACAAAACAAATATTTAATCACATTTAGAAGAAAAAAGTTCTTAATTAGGCAAATTATAGGGAGTCAATTATTTAGCAGGTACACATGAGAAAATAGTATTTGAAAAGTTTATAGGATTAACGATTGTTTAAACATAGAAACATTTGAGGGGAAAACTTATTTTAGAACGGCAATCAAGAAAAAAATATATATTTATTAAGATGACATTTGAAAAGTAATATTATTTTAAGATACCCATTTGAGAAATTTTAGTTTTAAAATAATTTATTCAATGTTTTTGTTAGTTAAAGTTAAAATGGCAATACTTAATAAGGGTGGTTTTGATATTTTGAAAATTTTAATGGGCAAGTAATATGTTGGATTGTTTTTCAAGAAAACAAAAGACGCTTTGAACATTTGAATAATATAAGGGACAAAAGTGAAATTTCGTATAAACGACTGGGTTACTTGAAGTCAAAAGAAAACTAAATAAATAAAAGAAAATGATTTGAGGACATACGGAAAAAGGTAAAAAATGTTAAAAGAAGGGGAAAAAAACAAAACAAAAGATGAAAGAAAAAAAACACACACACGCAAATGCACATAGGAAAAAACGGGTATCACACGTGAACGAATGTCAAAGTGAAGATACATTTAAGAGAAATAATTTTAGTACAATTAGAAAAAGATGGGAGTTCGATGAAAAATTGTTGAAAAAAAAAAAGTTACTATGAAAAAAGATAGACGCTTTAAAAAAAATTGTTCTTAAAGGTCAATTAAGAAAAAAAATCTTATTTTGAAGAATCATTGTCCAAACAATAACAATTAGACGGGAAAAAAATAAAGTAAGCACACATATGAAAAGAGTTGTTTCAATATGATCGCAGGTGAGGGAAATAATAGTTTAAAAGCCACATCAAAAGAGAATAAATAAAAACCTTTTGGCAAATAAACCCCCAAAATTTCAATATGGATGTATTTTTTTACAGAAATTATTTTAATAAAAGCAAATTGAAAGAAAAGGTATTTTAAAAATACACATTGCAATAATTAAACTATAAAGGAGTTTTTAGGAGGAAAAACAAATAAGGAAAGAAAAGAAAAAAGCAAAAGAAGAATCAATAAAAGTAAAAGAAAAAAGACAACAAACACAAAGATAAAGAGTTTGGTGAGTGGAGTGAAAGAAATTTTCCCTCTTTTTTGAATGTCAAAGATGATGGATAAAGACGGAAGATATAATAAGGATTAGACTGAAAAAATTATGTAAGAACACATGTGAAAAAAGTTGTTTTAATATGGAAAACCAGGGAAAAATAGTATAAAGATTTCAAAGAAATACATTATAATAAATAAATTATAGAGGAGCTTTTAGTCAAAAAAGAAAAAAATAATAAGGAAAGAAAAAAAAAAGAATCAACAAAAACAAAAGAAAAAGGTATTCTTTCTGGTACGATCTACTTTTTAAATAATACCGACAGGGCACGAATTTATCCCACGTAATTAAATCGTGTGCACAGAGGGTAAAACAATTTCTATAATGCACTTTTAGATGTAATCTGTGTTTGGTTTTTGAAATAATCCTATGTGGATTTTTTATGTCCAATGTGGATAAAACAAATAGAAAGAACAATTTTTTTAGATAAAATTATTGAAATTACTGAGTATACGAGATTAAATTTTTACTATTTATTCTTAATTAATAATTTTTTAATTAATATAATTTTTTGATTAAAAATAATATTAATCAATAATAAAAAGTAAAATTGGCCGCCCTTGTCACCGTTTGCCACCGGCCATCAAACCTCTGCCAAGTCCAGGGCAAAAAAAATTTCTAGGTCAGAAACGTCTAAAGAAGTTATTATTTAGCCAATGATAATATTTGCCAAATGGTTATCTTGTCTGGTATAACAGAGTTGTTGAATTTTGAACTTTAATCTGAACTTTTTTTTTGGCATTTCTAATGTGAAACTTGCGCCGGGTATGACGGAGAAGAAGAAATCTTTTTTTTTTGTTAAAAACCTTTTGAGGACTGCAAGTGAATTTTGGCATGGGTGAAGGCAAAGAAGAATTCTGGCATGATATTATTATTTTATTATTGTTGTTGTTAATTACTGGTATACTCGTTCGGGTTTGTTGGGCATGAGATGGAGATTTGAACAAATATATATATTTATTTTAATTTTGTAAAATGTTATGGTTTTAGAATGCAAAAGGAATAAATTTGAAACGATATAGGGCTTATGGTTAGAATGCACAAGGAACGATTATACTCGTGTTAGGTTAAGAAATAGAGAAAGGGTAATAATGGCTGTAGAGTAAGAAGATATTTTTTTTCTTTGAAAACGGAAGGAGAAGAAGTTGCATATTGTAGAAAAAACAAAATTTGAATTTTATTGGAATTTGAGGGTGAAAAAAATGTGTGCTTGTTGGTTGTTTCCGTTTGGCATTATGACTTGGAAGATAATATCTCGTAGTATGAGAGTCAATAAAAGCAAGAGAGATTTTTTGGTACGTTTAGTGTACCGGTAGGTCAAGTTTTTTTAATTATTAGATTTGTGTATTTTTTTTTTATTTTTACGTGATTTTATGCAGATCCGACAGGTATAAAACTTAACCTACCGATATGTTGACGTATCAAATAATGTCCCTAAAAGCATAGTCAAAATCATTTTATACAACCTACCGATAATTTCATAAAGATAAAAAAAATTAAAGTCACGTTAATTTCATCAATTTGAATTTTTAATTTTATATTTTTATAGTTATAAAATCTCAAAAATGCCACAACTCAATTCAAATTCGCACAAACCCTAAAGATTTAAACATATTGAAACATTAAATTATGCTATTAATTCTTGCTAAAAGCCTAGAATATATTAAGTTATTTATTATAAAAACAGATAATATCTCGCTGTATGAGAGTCAATAAAAGCAGGAGAGATTTTTTAATACATTTAGTGTACCGGTAGGTCAAGTTTTTTTAACCATTAGATTTGTTTATTTTTTATCTTTATGTGATTTTATGCATATCTGATAGACATAAAACTTAACTTACCGATATGTTGACGTATCAGAGAATGTCCCTAAAAGCATAATCAAAATCATTTTATACAACCTACCGATAATTTCATAAAGATAAAAAAAAAATTTAAAGTCTCATTAATTTTATCAATTTAAATTTTAAATTTTAAATTTTTATAGTTATAAAATCTCAAAAATGCCACAGCTCAATGCTATTAATTCTTGCTAAAAGCCTGGGCTATATTAAGTTATTTATTATAAAAACGTGAGCGGCAGGATTCGAACCTGCGCGGGCAGAGCCCACATGATTTCTAGTCATGCCCGATAACCACTCCGGCACGCCCACGAGATTTACTGCATACTCAAACTTTTGTTGTAATGTAACAAACATAAGGCGATCGACATGACTCACCAATATCCTAGCACGTTGCAATATATTGTAAGCAATTGGTACATGCGTTAGCATTCGTGACATTTTCATAAGTATAAAAAGCAAGCAATAACTGAAGACTCGTTGGATTAGATTTATGGTCCTTAGGGACGAGAGAGAGAAGAATTTGTTGCTATTGAAATCGGATCCGTTTACAAAAAGGGCAAGCTGGACAATTCTCAAAATAGAAACAAAGTGGTAGATTGGTAGGAGAACTGAATCCATTATAATATATATATATATATATAATTATATGTATACATATATGAATATAAATATAAAGCCACTATGAAGATAAGGTTTTACTTTTCATTCTCTCTCCCAATCAGTTACATATATTTTTCTTTTCCTGCTGATCTTATCCCTCGTCGAACGAAGAGAATGCATGATTGCATCTCAACAATGTCACATGTCAGACTCCACTACGTAACAAAATTTTCTCTCAAAAACAGTAAGAAATAACAACAAAAAATTTTCGTCCGTGATAACGTACTGTTATCAACTTTACCTGCACCGAATTGATTTTATTACAATGTCCTGTTTCAGCATCTTAGCAAAACACGGAATTTTAACTTAAACAAAACATCATCTCAAACAAGTTAATTAATACAAGTCTTTAGTCCTACAACATTTCATACCATTATTTAGCTTCAAACAACGTAAAAAAAAAAACAAAAACAAAAAACGTAACCAAATAGAAAACTAATAGTAACCAAATAGGAAACTAACTATTTGCAGTTCGGTAGCGGCGCTCCGCACAAGCAGCGGTTATGGAAGTAGGCTGAGTAGTCGAACCTCGTCTGCAATTCCCCGCCGACCGGGATCTTCCCGCACAGCTGGTTGTAACTCACATTGAGCAGCTGTAGTCTCAGCTCGGTCAGCCCCACCGGAAGACTCCCAATTATCTTGTTGTGGTTTAGATCTAAATAGGTCAAGCTCTTCGGAAACTCGACCTTCGACAGATCGAACTCCAACAAGTTCCTCGACAGGTCCACGATCTCCAAATTCTTCTTGTCCGATCCGAACAGCAGCGACGCATCGCCCTCGAGCTTGTTCCGCGACAGGTCCATGTAGGTGTAGTCCTTTTTCAACACTGAGGCCGGTATTTTCCCAGAAAGTTGGTTGTGCGATAAGTAGAGATAAAAATTATCTCCAGTGAGATCCCCGAATGAGGCCGGGATCGGTCCCGTGAGTTGGTTACGGTCTAACCGGAGGCCTGTGAGTTTCGTCAGCCGACCGATGGAGCTCGGGATCGGTCCCGTTAGTTTGTTGAAAGAGAGATCAAGAAAATCGAGGGTGGTGATTTCGCCAATGAAGTCCGGGATGGGACCCGAGAGGTTGGTCCAGGTTATACTGAGGATCCGGAGCCTCTTTAGCTTGGTGATGGACTGTGGAATCGGTCCCGTCAGGTTTGGGTTTTTGTGGAACATGAGGGTTTCGAGATAGGGAAGGTCGCCGACTTGGGGCGGGATCGGTCCCGCGAGGTCGGCGTAGTTGAGGAAGAGGTCATTTACTCGGTGGGTTTTGTAGTCGCAAGTGAGGCCGTACCAACCGCAACAACCGGTTTTCGGGTCCCACGAGGGGAAGATATTAGGGGTGTTGAAGAATTTCTTGATTTGGAGGAGGGCTTTCTTGTCTTCAGGATGGCAGAGCTCGGAGAGACAATGGTGGAGAATGGTGGAGAAGATAATTAGGGCAAGGGAAAGGAAGTTGTAATTAATGGCCATTGGATGTACTAATTAACAGTGAAAAATGTTGTTATGAAACGGGCTTTATATAGACTTCGGCTATGTGAAGTGGCAAAACAAAATATACTTAACATGACATTCCGTGTGCCCTTTGTTCTCATAGGAAAAAAGTGTCATTATTGATTTTGAAATTAGTGACGATCGAAGAAGAAGATAAAGACCATGTAGTGGAGATGAATCATATTGCCGCGTTGAATTGACCATCCATCATTTCGATCCTTCCAACTTGTATGCACATTCAAACATGCATTATTACGACATGGATATGACAAAATCGCACTAAAGAAATAGTATGTAAAACAAGACGTCGTTATCCCAATAACAGTATTTTTTTTAAGTTGGAAAGCATATATATATATATATATATATATATATATATATATATATCGTAACAAAAATAACTGAATAATTTAATTTGAATAGTTTGTATTCAATTTATAATAACATCTGTATTTATATTACATTCTCAATCATTAAAAAAAAATTACGTCAGTATTCAGCAAAATCCAATTCCATTATATTGTATCATGTATTAATGCACAGTAATGAGATTCCACTAACACACTGATCCGCGCGCAGACAAAACTTGTTTTAGATGAATTAGAAATTATCACTCTATTATTTTTCCAGTCTTACATTAATGAGAACACAAATTAAGATGCCAGATTACGTAAATGCATAAAAAGCTTCCATGTCAACATCTAATACAATGTATGCCAAAACCTTTGAACGTTATCATTCATATTCTAATTAATTGAGAATTACATAAATTACTTAAAAATTACATAGTAGAATTATTCGCTAGCTATTTACAACTTTCCATGAGCGGAGAACCGCACAAGCAGCGGTTGTGGAAATAGGCCGTGTAGTCGAAGCCCTGCAACGCCCCGCCCACCGGAATCTTCCCACACAACCTGTTGTAACTCACATTCAATCCCTGCAAGTAATCCACTGCGGTCAGTCCCACCGGAATACTCCCGGTAATCTTATTATGGCTCAGATCCAACTCAATCAAACTCTTCGGAAACTCAACCTCCGACAAATCGAACTCAAACAAGTTCCTCGACAGGTAAACCTGTTGTGTCATCTTCTTATTCGACCCGAACAGCACCGACGCATCGCCCTCGAGCTTGTTCCGCGAAAGATCTACGTAGGTGAAGTCTTTCTTTCCCAAGGAGGCCGGTATTTTCCCCGAAAGCTGGTTGTGGGACAGTTTGAGGTAAAAACTGAAACCTTGGAATTCTCCAAACGAGTCGGGGATTGGTCCGGTGAGCTTGTTCCGGTCCAAAACAAGCCCCGTTAGGTTCGTTAACCTAGAAAGCGAGCTCGGGATCGGTCCGGTTAGGTTGTTGAATGAGAATTCGATAGATACGAGGCTTTTGATCTCGCTGAGAAAGTCCGGGATGGGACCGGAGAGGTTGGCCCAGGTGATGACGAGGTAACTGAGCCTCTTAAGCTTAGTGATGGATTGTGGGATCGGTCCCGTCAAGTTGGGCTGCTTGTGCCACCAGAGTATCCGGAGGTAAGGAAGGTCGCCGATTTCGGGAGGGATAGGACCGGAGAGATCGCCGCCGCCGAAGTAGATCTCGAGGGTTTCGATCCGGTTGTTCTTTTCGTCGCAATGGGCGCCGCCCCAGTTGACGCAGCAGTCGGTGTTCGGGTCCCAAGTGGAGAAGACATGAGGGTTGTTGAAGCCTTTCTTTATTTGGAGAAGAGCTTTCTTGTCTTGGGGATGGCAGAGCTCGGAGAGGCATGGATAAATGAAGCTACAGAAAAGAACTGAGAAACAAATGATATGGTAGATCTGCTTTCGATCGTCCATTTTTATTTCTTTGCCCTGGCTTGAACGTTGGAGACGACGGTTGGCTTTTATGGGGTTATGGCGCTAAGGACTAATGCTAGAAATTAAGAGGATATGTGGCGCACATCAATATTGACTTTTTTTTTTCACATAATAATGTGGTCGGCGATATACATTTAAAAAAAAAAAAAAAAAAAAAACTAGTTGAATTCTGCGGGTAAAATTGAAAAATATGTTTATTAATATCTCATTTAGAGAAATAGAAGAAAAATAGAAAAATGTATAATAAAACAAAAAAGATTAGAATGAAAAAGGAAAAAGAGGAGAAAGACAAAATAAAAAGAAAAAAAAAAGAAAGAAGAAAAATGAATGAAAATTAAAACAAACAAATAAAAAAAAGTCACTCATGAGATGTTTTATTGGGAAAACATGATTTAAAAACAAAATCTAGAGAGCGATGTATACAAGAAGAAATTATTTAAAGAGGATATTAAAGAGAAGTATATTTATGAGGACCAATTTGGAGAGAGGATATTAAAGAAAAGTATATTTATGAGGAGCAATTTAAAGAGAAGTAAAAAAAAAGAAAAAAAAGAAATGTATAATGCGAATAAAAGATAAGAATATAAAAAGGGTAGACAAAAAAAAGGAGAAAAAAAAGGAAGAAAGTTTAAAAGAAATTATAAAAAAAAAAGGAAACAAAAGATGAAGGAAACAAAACTGGTGGAAAGTGCCCCATAAAAAAAAAAAAAAAAAGAATCGGTGGAAAGCCCCTCAATTAAAAAACTCATATATAGAAGGAGAAAGGAGACAAATACCTCTTAGAATGCATAAGTCTTAAATTTTAACACTTACTCTTAATTAATATCATTTTTAATCAAATACCTATTTTAGTCAAAAGGATAATAATCAAGAGTAAGTGGTATAAATCAAGACCCACATACTTTAAAAATAAGTTCAACAATTTCTCTATATTTATTTAGAAAGATTTGTCTTGCAAGAGAATACAGAATAATAGTGTACAAATTCAATCAAGTTTTATTAGTTTAATTATCGATGGGTTTTTAATGCATGTTTAATATCAATTTATTGTTAACGAACATGCTTTCAACAATCAATTCTTAAGTTAGTACATCATAGTAATAGTCCTTCTTGAAATCAATCTCTTTTTTTTTTATCATTAATGTTGACAACTCTCAATCACTTCAATGGTTTTGGTTCAAAAAAAGAAGGATCGAATTAAAAGATGTGAACTTTAAGTTTTTAATATTCATTGTGAATGTGCTTACAATAAGTAAAAAAGGAGAAAGTATATTAGATTTTTTTTCCAGGTTAATGTATCATGTTTCCTTTAAAAACAAAAAACAAAAAACAAGAAGAAGAAACAAAGATACAAAGAAGAAAAAAAAGGTTGTATGATGCTCAAAATTAGGGGTGGCAATTTGGGTCATGACGCGAAACACCTTGAATCCTGCACGAAGTTAGCAGGTTTAGATATACTATAAATGAGTTTCGGTCATAATCGGATTGACACGATTAATAAATGGGTTGAGTTCGGATTGACCTCCTAACACAAAGTATCACGAATTGACACGATTAACTATATGTGTTATCTGTAATCTGATGATATGTTATATGATATGAAAGTTTATATGAAAAATTAAATACAAATAATATGAATTTTAATATTTTTAATTAACCAATAAACATGTTAAACTTATGATGATCGTGTTAGTTATTTATTCAATATATTAATTTAAACGGATTATGCAGGTTGACACAGTTAACACGATTAATAAATGATTGACGCGTTTAATAAACAGATCGTGTTTAAATTAATGTATTCTAACACGATTAATAAATATATTTACACAAATACGACCTACTAACACGAATGGTCACATCTACTCAAAGTGCTATAATATTTTCAGGAAAGTAAAATATAAACCCCAGAACGCGCTAAGATCTTTTCAAATTGATTGTCTCCATTTATTGTTGAATTTATTGTTGAATTTTGTGGCGTGCAATATTGTTGGATTTTGTGGCGTACGGAGGCTATTATATATTCAGGTACAAAATAAGCTTGTGGTGGAGAAACGCCAAATTAATGGTCTATGACTAAAGCTGTTAAGTGTTCCATTACTAGAATTGTCGAGGCTTTCAACAACTATTTTTATCATCAATACATGATCTTTTTTAATCTGTTCTTGTTTAAGTAATTCTTCTTTAGTTCTCTAATATAGTAACAATAACTTGATCTCACAATTGTGTCGATAGTCTATAAGTACGTACTTTTTTTTTTTTCTTGTAGTCCTCTAATATAATAGTTTTATATTTAAGTGTGTCCCTGTTAACGAAATACTTTTTTTTTCTTAATTGTTTCATTGCAATTTTTTTTTTTTTTTTAACTAAACATCAATTGCATATAACCCTTCCAGATATAATTTTCTTACATACACTCACTAAATACTTTATTGTATTAGTCCCACCAATTATTTATTTATAAAATGAGTTCTACTTATACATTTTATCTTACTAAACTAAACTCTTATAAAGAATAATAAACCGAGAAAACAAATTAAAAAATTTTAAAAATTTAACATACGATTATCAAGAACTTCAACAAAACTATTAATAAGAAAGAGTTTATTTTTTCTTTTTCTTTTTAAATAAATATAGCAGGAAGGAATTAAGGGTCCGTTTGGTAGAGGGATTCGTTCCCTGATTTGAATCATGATTCATGGTTCGCTACAGTATTTTCTCTCATAAAAAATTCACGTAAATTGAAAATGGTTCAAATCACATAGTTTGAATCTTCCAACCAAACGTCCTCTAAGTGAATGTCACCCATTATTACAATAACAAAAATCAAAAAACAAAAAAAAACAAAAACAAAAACATATGAGGTGCTAGTACTGCTCCTCAAAAAATTAATAAGCGTACATATATCATCAATTTGTAATTCTGAAGCATTATATAATAGAGAAAATTTAAACCACCCCAAACAAACCCTTCCACTATTTACACGATCTCTCTAATGGAGCACCGCACAAGCATCTGTTGTGGAAATAAGCTGTGTAATCAAAGCTCTGCAAATTCCCACCCACCGGAATCTCACCACACAACCTGTTGTAACTCACGTTGAAACCCCTCAAATTATCCAGTGCGGTCATCCCCACCGGAAGGCTCCCCGTTATCCTATTGTGGTTCATATCCAACGAAACCAAGCTCTTCGGAAACTCAACGTCGGACATGTCGAACTCCAACACGTTCCTCGACAGGTCCACCACCTGCGTTGTCTTGTTAAGCCCGAACAACACCGCGGCCCCGCCTTCGAGCTTGTTCCACGACAAGTCGACGTAGTTGAAATCCTTGTTCCCCAAGGAGGCCGGTATTTTCCACGAGAGCTGGTTGTGGGACAGTTTAAGGTAAAAATGGGAACCTTGAAATTCTCCGAACGAGTCGGGGATTGGTCCGGTGAGCTTGTTCCGGTCCAAAACAAGGCCGGTTAGGTTCGGTAACCTAGAAAGGGAGCTCGGGATCTGTCCGGTTAGGTTGTTGAATGAGAATTCGATAGATACGAGGCTTTTGATCTCGCTGAGAAAGTCTGGGATGGGACCGGAGAGGTTGGCCCAGGTGATGACGAGGTAACGGAGCCTCTTAAGCTTAGTGATGGATTGTGGGATCGGTCCCGTCAAGTTGGGTTGCTTGTGCCACCAGAGGGTCCGGAGGTAAGGAAGATCGCCAATTTCGGGAGGGATTGGACCGGCGAGATCGCCGCCGCCGAAGTATTTTTCGAGGGTTTCGATCCGGTTGTTCTTTTCGTCGCAGTGGACACCTCTCCAGTGGAGGCAGCAGTCGGTGTTTGGGTCCCAAGTGGAGAAGACATGAGGATTGTTGAAGCCTTTCTTGATTTGGAGAAGAGCTTTCTTGTCTTGGGGATGGCAAAGCTCGGAGAGACATGGATAAATGAAGCTACACAAAACAAGTAAGAAACAAAGCAAATTGTAAATCAGCTTTTTGGCGTCCATTTGATTTCCTTGCCGGCTCTAAGGACTATTGATAAAAAAAAGAGGATATATATATATATATATATATATATATATAATATTTGAATCATGTAAACTTTAAAAATCATCACTTTATTTCTTAAATTTTAAATTATTTCCACTTAACTTCTTCGACGGTAATTTATATTAAAAACAATTAAACAAATAAAAGAAAACGAGAATAATGTAATCATGTTGACTTGGACGATGTCCCGTTCAGATGTTCGATTATGTGTCTGTCATTTTATGTGTACTGTTTTGCTTAGACAAAGCTCAGATTTGAGATTGGATCCTGAGTACTTTCTCCATAGCTTTTCTCTGTAATAAGCTTGGTATCAAAATTAGGGAGCAAGGTTCGTTGACATCTTGACTCCGTATTGTTTACTGGTTGTTTCTAGTTGTTTTTGAGACTGACTCTGTTACACACTTAATCTCCTCTTTTTCCTTTTGATTTTAATAAAAATTCTTAAAAAAAGAATTAAATAGAAAATTTCAAAATTCAAGAGATAAAGTGAGAGTTTTTAAAATTTAAAAGATAATAGAAATGCCTCAAAGTTCAGAGACGCCAGTAAAATTAATATTTCTATTTCTTGCAAAAAAGAAAAAGAAACAAGAAAAAAAAAATTGTATCATGTAGAAATATCTTTTATTAACACAGAACAAATATTCGTGGAAACAATATATATATATATATATATATATATATATATACACACACACATATTGGATCTCTACAAATTGGTTGTCCATATATTGTTTGGATTTTTGGCGTGCAATTTAACAGAAGCATGCATTCTAAAAGTGGGAAAATAGGCCCGTTGTGTCAAATTGGTTGTCTATTGTTGGATTTTGTCCCCTACTAAGGCTGCCCTATGTAAGTGCAAACTAAGCATGTGGCGGGGAAACACCAAATATCAGAGTTCATGCCAGTGCTTTCAATAATTGAAGTACAAAAATTGTGTTAACATTAGAAACCAAAGTTTAGATGACATGGACTTTTTTTCCCCTTTTTTTAGGTTAATCTCATTAATGTCCTTGATTTTTTAGATCAGTTCTAGTTTACCTTTTCAACTTTAAAAATTATGAGTTTTGGCCTTTGGGCTTATTTGTAGCAAGGTGAGAGTTCCAAAATTTAGAAGTAAATGATCTTAAAGTTCTTAACCCTTTTTTTAATTTGAATAATATTTCAAAATTTTTGCTATATATCTCAACTCGTGTGGAGACCCATTTATTAATACAACGCAAAAAGCAAAAAATAGTGAATACATACATATATATATATATATATATCCTTATACTATTTGCAGCTCTCTAACGGAGCTCCACACAAGCACCGGTTATGGAAATACGCCGTGTAATCAAAGCTCTGCAAATTCCCACCCACCGGAATCTTACCACACAACCTGTTGTAACTCACGTTGAAACCGCTTAAATTATCCAGTGCGGTTAGCCCCACCGGAAGGCTCCCCGTTATCCTATTATGGTTCAGATCCAACGAAACTAAGCTCTTCGGAAACTCAACCTTGGATATGTCGAACTCCAACACGTTCCTCGACAGGTCCACGAGCTGCGTCGTCTTGTTAAGCCCGAACAACGCCGCCGCGCCGCCTTCGATCTTGTTCCGCGACAGGTCGACGTAGCTGAAGTCCTTCTTCCCCAAAGATGCCGGTATTTTCCCCGAGAGCTGGTTGTGAGACAGTACTAGGTAAAAATCCTCACCTCGGAATTCTCCGAACGAGTCCGGGATCGGCCCCGTGAGTTTGTTCCGGTCCAGACGGAGCGAGCCGAGGACCGGAAGCTTCGAGAGCGAGGCCGGGATCGATCCCGTCAGGTTGTTGAAGGAGAGCTCGAGCAAATCGAGGTTCCTCAGCTTGCTGAGAAATTGCGGGACCGGTCCCGACAGGTTGTTCCAAGTTAGTCTCAGGTACTTGAGATTCTTGAGATTGGTGATGGATTGTTGGATCGGTCCCGTGAGATTGGGCTGCTTGTGGAGCATTAATGTTTCGAGGTAAGGAAGGTCGCCGACTTGCGGCGGAATGTGGCCGGAGAGATCGCCGGTCACGACGGTTAGGGAGTTGATACGGTGCGTCTTGTCGTCGCAGGTGACGCAGTACCAGTCCGTACAGCAATCGGTGTCTGGTTTCCAAGAGGTGAGGACGTAAGGGTCGTTGAAGGCTTGCTTGATTTGGAGGAGGGCTTTTTTGTCATTTGGGTTGCAGAGCTCGGAGAGAGAAGGATGTAGAAGAGAGGAGAAGAAGAGGGTGAGAGAGAAGATTGAAAACATTATTTGGGTCTCCATTTTTTGTGCTTTTGGATGAGAATGGGATGCAGAAAGATTCGGAAATATAAAGGGATTTTTGAGTACGTGGGAAATTGTAGCGTGTGATTTTGTGTTATGGATGATGTACCTGTTCATTTCATCGATTCGAGTTTAAAATTTAAGTTTTTTTATAATAAAAATTTTTAAAAATAATCACATTTAAATTTTTTATTATATAAAAAACTCTCACATAAAATCACATCTCAACTCGAAATAAAAACTCAAATCAACGAAATAAACGGAAGTGGTATAATTATAATCTTAAAATTTTTCAATTCTTTATGTAATTATAACAATATTAAGTGAAAGTCAAGCACAGACCACAATATATTTTTCGTGATTCTATATGTCCAAACAACTATTATAGTATTGCTTTTATAAATCAGATGAGTTATATTTTAGGGACCCTTTTTTTTAGGATTTCTCAATTAGTATAGTCAGTTTTTTATTGTTAATATCATTAAAATTATATTAAAATTAAAAATTATGTAGAACGGTAAATTCTAATGTATATCTAATGCTGAAAATGGAGATATTTTTTTATAATGTTAAACCTCAAAGAAGAATCTCTTAGACTCGTTCATTTAATCAATTTAAATTTTTAATTTTAATTTTATTATATTAAAATTTTCATAAAAAATTATATTTATTATTTTTTATTATAATAAAAAAATTTTATATAAAATTATATCTTATCTTAAATTTAAAATTTAAATATTATATTAATATTGCCAGGAGACACGGCGGCTATTAAATATTGAGACAACGGAAAAGTTGTCAAGTAGGAGAAAAGCTGAGCATTTTCAAGCAGAGCTGCACTATTTATTTTCATTACGTGCCCAATTTGCTGACCCTCTTTTTTTTTTTTTTTTTCTAGAATTTTGGTAGATTTCCTTAATATATGTATACAGTGTTTGATCAATCCTTGTAGACTAGATGAATCCTTGCATGATCATTAGTGATCGAACGGTTGAAGAGTGACGCATCGCCTATTTGTATGTGACAATGTAACACCCTCAACTTACTTTTTCGTGTCAGTGTCTAAGAAGAAACTCCGATTTAGAATTAGTAGGTTAATTTGAGTTCATTTTGAGGATTTAAATTTTTAATTTAAATTGATATGTAATATTCTTTGAGAATTTTTTATTATAATAAAAAAAGTTAAATATAATATTTTTTTAAAATTTTTTATTATAAAAATTTAGAACTGAGATCGGTAAAATGAAAACATAGTGTCAATAAAAAGTTCATATCACGTTAATTAAAAAGATGAGAGTTAAAGGATAAAAAAAAAAAAAGGGGGAGAGACTGACAGAGAAGATTAAGGAAGTGCACAATTAATTATAGTGAGAATATATTGCAAGGTTTGAGAGTCTATGGCTCTATGCTAAGATAATTACTATGATTAAATTGCCGCATAACAGTGTTTGCTATTTTAGTCAAACATGGAGGCTGACAAAGACTGGCCTTGTGATTTAAAACAGGGAATTTCCATCTGTCTCCCAAACTCTCTCACATGACCCTCCACCACATAGAGCTTCATTAGGTACTTTGTTCTTGTAAGTGGTAAAAGCATTATTAATTAATTATTAATCATAAAACTGATCAAGCAAAGTTGCTTTAGTTAAAGCCTCACTCACTTCAATTGTTGACGTCTTTTTTTTTTCCCCCTTGTTTTAAGGGGAGCTATTTTAGTCAAGGTGATACTAATTCTAGAGGGTGATTATCTATCACTCACTGAGTATATATCTTTATTTTAATTGTAAGATATTGATATTAAAATTTATAATTAATTAAAAAAGTTAATGATAATTAATAAGATTTTATTCTTATTACTTCATATCATCTAATGTTTATATTTAATAGATAATCACTGATAAAAATATAAACTATTAAAAACCCCTCCATATCTGTGCGTAAAGATTTTTGTCTCTTTTACTCAGTGGATGCGGGAATTTTGCTTATAAAAGCTATGCATTAACAAATTGAATTACACGCTCAAGCCTAGCTTGGAGATTGATCGAATTCTTTCTTGCTTTGTATCTTGGATCTTCTCAATTTTGAACGACAAGTGTTGCGTGAAAACTCGCAAATATACGAATCGCACAAGTAATAAAGTGTACAAGAGTACGGATATCGATCCCACGAAAATTGTGTTTAGCTTTCGTTAAATACCAATATTGATTAGCTTCTAGGATTGTTTTTATATATTTTTATAACTAAAAGAAAATAAAAATGCAAGCAATTGTAAATAATCGAGCTAGGACCTCCCAATTTCCCCTTGATTACAAAATGCTAAAGCTGTGCTAAAGAAATGCTACAGCATTCTGTACTAGTTAACCAAACTCAAATTTGTGCATAAAGTTCTTCCGAATTAATTATGACTATAATTCCTCAAACTAATTTCATCATATTCCTATGTGAATCTAGTTCATGGAATTCCAATTTCAAGTTCGGATTTATTAGGTTATACAAGGTAAACGATATATTCCTATACCTTCTACAAATCAATATATTCCTATATTGAACATGCATCATCCATGTAAAGTCTAACCTAAATTAATTTTTCCAAATCAATCTAAGTCTAGTTCTACATTTGATTTCCATCAAAAATAGAAATTAAGCAAGTAAATACACATGAATGAGCAAGCACAAGAATACCATAAACAATCCAAAAGCAAAAACTAAAACATCACAACCTTAGTTCTACTAGGAGCCTAGCTCACAAAATTAACTAAATAACATCAAGGGTTTCATCATTTATGAATTACAAAAATAAGAGATAAGAGAAGGAATGAAAAACCCATTTTAGGAGTTGTCACAAGCTCCTAGATCCTCCATCTTCTTGCTCTTCACAAAATGAATTCTCCCTCAATAATTTATTGAAAATAAAACCTAATCTAATAAAATAAAAATATTTGTTTTGGGATTTTTTCTCTCTTGAAAAATTGGCTGAAAAGCCTTATTAAAATGCTTGGCTAATCCTCCCTGGTTTCTCTTGGTTTTTTTTCGTTGTCTGTCCAAAACCTTAACAATCCTCCCTTTTTTTCTTCTCTGGCGGCTCGCATTTCTCGGTTCAAAACCCTCATTCCGTGTGCAAAGGAGAGCTGCTAACTGATCTCAGCTAGAGGCCTGCGTTCGGACACGTGGCGCGCTTCAATTGGAGGCTTCGGATTGAATGGACACACGGTGCGCTGTGGTTCGTTGAGAGAGGGAGTTTCACGCAGCTTGGATGGAATCACCACACCGGATCATACGAGCTGCTGAGTGGGGAACAAGCTGGACACGCGGCTTGCTCGGATTGGCAGAAGAGCTGCGCGACCCTGCAGAGACGCGCTTCTGTCTGGGGTGATTTCACGCGCCCAATCCGGACCGTTGATGCTGCGATCCAACGACTGGAGTGGTGAGTTTCGTGCTAGTTTTACTCGCGCGCGGGAATTCTATTTTGAGGCTAATTCAAATTCGAATTTTACTTATTTTCTCTTGCATTTCTCTCCCAATTTGGATTTCAATTTGCACTTAAGCCCACCTATCACCAAAATTAAATTACATAATGAGGAAAATAATTATTTTGAAAGGAAACTAAATAAAATAAAATAAAAATACTTAAAACAAACTAAAAATAAAATTAATTCCAAATAAAATAAAATAAAATAAAAATAAGATAAAAGTATTAAAAACTAAATAAATTCTCAAGAACAAGCATACTTTTTAATCCACGGAGGCTAAATAACTCCATTTCATGGAGTTATCAACAAGCACACAGAAACGACGACAGTATAAAAGAAATACTCACAATAACGATAATAAACGACGAAAAGGAAACAGAAGAATAAAAATCACAGCAACAAAAAAGAAGGATAAATGAGCACAAAAGAAAGAAGAACTAACTTTAATAATCTACAAGAAAGAAGAAGAGGAACGACTTTAAAGGAAATAAATAACAAAATAAGAAAAAAACGACAACAAAACAAAAATGATAACCAAGATAATAAACGACAACATGCGGAAAACCAAAAACGCTGGTAATATTATTAAAAAAAAGTACACAAGAAAAGTAAAATGGCAACAATTCTATAATGACAAGCACAAAAAAGAAGGAAAAATAAAATGAAAAGAAAAATAGAAAACTAGAATAAATAAATTTACTAATAAGATATTGAAAATGAGAAAAGAAGTGAGATTAATCTCATTTTGGGTTTCTGAACTTAGGATGGTTCTCCTTTTGGATTCTGACATTCAAAACATTTCGAAAATAACCATCGATATACAAAATTGTCCCGTTGGAATAGTTTTCTTAAGATCCGTTAAAAAGATGATAGAAAGATAATTTGTAACAATCATGTGATGTTACTTTAATGCACATATTAAAATATCACATGATTCTCACATTTCATTTTTCATCGATTTTAATAGAATTCATGAAGGAAGGACATTAATGGGATAATTTTATAAATCGGGCATTAGTAGCGAGATAGGAACTAAAATAGATTTCACTCTTAAATTCAAGTGTTAGATTGGGATCAAGTCAAAATGAAATGAACAAGAACCTACTAAAAAGTTCTTTAAACAAATAATATTTACGCAAAAAAAAAAAAAAAAAAAAATCTATTTTAGCATATTATTACAATAAATGTCCTAAATTTTAAAAAATTATATTGTTGTTTTTAATTTATTAATTAATTGATTTTGGTATATTATGAATTGATTTCACTTATCATTGCGTTAATTTTAATTGCTTGGTTATTTATCCATGTAAACCATTAATTTACCGAGTCAATAATTAATTTACAATGGCGAATACTTGTTTATGTAATTTAACCTTAAATTGATCCTTAAAACAACACCATCATTTCTAAATTAACCCCTAAGGAAAGTCTAACGTCTCTAAAAACTCCTTTCTCGCCCTATGGCAAAAACAGACTTTCTCTTAAAAAAAAAAAAAAAAAAAGGTGGGGTGTGGGGGCGCATTGGAAAAGATCAAAAAAACAAAAAAAAATGTAAAAAAAAAAAAAAAAAAAAAAAAAAAAAAAAAACAAAAGATCATAACCACAATCAAGTTGATGCAACAATCTAAATTAGCAAATCAAGAAAAAAAATTGAACAAAGGAGTAAAGATATTACATTTATGTATTAAATTACAAACTCGTGTGTAGCAGAAAAATAACATAATTCAATCAACAATTGAATCTAATCTAATAAAAAAAATTGAAGAAGAAGAAGAAGATGCTCGGGGCCGCCTAACCAACCCGACCCTAAAGGTAAGAAGGTCCGCCCACCAGCCCCAAAACCCAACGAGGGGGAGCCCAAATGTTTATATGGTAAATTAAAAAATAAAAATAAAAAAGGGAGTTCGGAACGGCACAAAAATGCTTTCGGCCTTAGGCCCAGCCCAGCCCAAGGGTTGGGGTCGAGCCGGCCCAATCTGGGGTTTATGCAGGCCGAGTCCCAGGCCCCGAGTAAAATGATTGGGGTTCGACTAGACCAAACTTGCAGCTTTCAGAAACAAATGCCAAAGCAGCTAAGACCTAGTAAAAAACAAATGCCAAATGCCAAAGCAGCTGGGCTCATTCATTTCACCGATTTGAGTTTTCAGTTTTAAGTTTTTACAGTCAAAAGTTCTCAGAAAATGTTACATCTAACTTTTTTTTTACTACAGTGAAAAGCTCTCAAAAAATGTCACATCTCAGCTCGAATTGAAAACTCAAATCCGCGAAGTGAACGAGGCCTTACGACAATACCAAAATAATAAAATTCAAAGAAATAAACTAATGTCTCGGAAAACGACAAAAGAAATACAAACTAAAGAATACTCAAAACGACAAGTGTTTAGCACTGGCTGTGGAAAAGGGCCCCAGCATCGCCTATACAAGAACGACAAGAAAAGTACTAAGCGACAAACAAATGAATGAACAAGTGCTGAACAAAACCCGACAATGAAGTTATTAAACGACAACAAAACAATAAAGGTCAGTCTCTTGGATCACAAAGGACAACAATTTGTAGCTTCCACCCAAAAAAAAAAAAAAAGAAAAAGAACAATGACAACAATTTGTAGACCGGGAGGGAGGCACAAAAGAACGACTACTACGGGAAAAAACGACAAGATACAAAAGTTGGTCAAAAACAAAATCAAACGCAACTACGAAAAACTTTGAATTTTAATAGTGCTAAAAAAAGAGTAAATTGCACCGTTACACCTCAAACAATTCATTTTTTTTTTTTTACAAAATAGACTCTAAACTTTTAATTTTGATAAAATGCACTCTAAACTTTAAAATATGTTATAATTAAAGTCCAATAACTAACAAACATTGATAATTTTAGACACATAATCTGTACATAAAAAATAAAAATCGTCACTTTTCAAACCATTACGTGTAAATCTCGTATATCAAATTGTCAATTTAATAACACTCTCAGCTATTGAACTTCAATTGTAACTAATTTTAAGATCATGATGTATTTTATCAAAATTAAAGTACAAGGGTACAACAGTGCAATTTACTCTAAAAAAATTCATAAACATATAGAAAATTTAGATTACAAAATCGATAAAATTATTGTTTTTAATTATATTTGACTGGCTGATGCGGACACACAAGTAACCCAATAAAATTTTTTTCTAGCCCAAAAAAAAACACAAAAAAAGAAAATGTAATTCTGGTTTTTCCCTGTATGATTCTCATCTAATCATCGTGTAATGTAAAGACGAAATAGGTACATTATTAGTCAGTAAGTTATCTTATTTCACATGTGTAATAACAAAAGAAGTTCTTTAACACTTTGTCAGAGGAAGTACTTGCTTGGAGTCACTCTTTTATCAATGTGTTTAAAAAATCATAGTGGATATTAATTTAGAATTATAATTAAAATTATTTTTAATTTATGTATGTTCTTTATAAAAAAAAATTATTATAAATCACGAATTATAATTTAAATTATGACACGAATTCTCATACTAAACATTATCTTAACCATTAATTAGTTACAAAAAAATTAGTTTCAAGAAACGACATTAAGTATTATAAATTCGAAATCATAAACATAAAAGTACACCACAGAAGGATAAAGTTCTGAAGAATCACTTGTCAGAGTTTTTTGCTTCACCAACCAATCACGGTCGTTTTGAACATCATGATGAAAGGAGTCTTGCCCAATTATATGATGTTCATAATCGCGTCAAGTTGTTTTAGTCTGACACTTTTGGCTTATTGGAATTAGTCCACAAATTCCCAAAATTAAATAACAACAGCGATTTAAAAAATAGTCAATTCTCTAATACTTTCGTCAAGTCCATCTTTAAAATTTACCACCATCTGCATATTTTGAAGCAAAAAATATGGTCCGTTGAGGAAAAGGAAATTACTAATTCAAGAGAACAAAAGAGGAAGATGTCTGTTCTGTTCTTCTTCTTCTTCTTTTTTTCTCCCCCTTTTCCTCCCTCCTGAAACCCCCGGAAAGGCGGTTGGTAATAGAGGTAAAGCTAGCTTTGTTCTTTCATTAAATTAATGGAAATGGTATGTAAAGCTAAAATAGAAAAAAAAAAAATTGCTAGATATTTAAAAAAAAAAAAAAAAAAAAAAAAAAAAATGTATAAAAAAAAAAAAAAAAAAAAAAAAAATTTTAAAAATTTAAAAAAAAAAAAAAAAAAAAAAAAAAAAAAACCTATGAATAACAATAGTTTTTAACTGTCATGATATATCAAAATTGTATTGAAACGAAGAAAGTATAATAATTTAATGAAATTTAATAAAGATATGATGATTTAATACTGTGTTATATTAACGGTGTGTTCGTCAACTTGTCAACACTAAAGAGACAGAGTTTCAATGAATTGTACCTAAACTTCTGTTTTTAGAAAGAAAGTAACGCCCACAGTACCAAATTTAATATCGAAAGCGAATAAAGGAGGAGAATATCAATGTACAAAAGCATCTTTTTGTTCAAGCTCACTCACCCTTCCATAAGCTTTTCCATTTTGCTCTTGCGTTTCTTTTAAGCTCACCGCAATGCTTTATCTCTTTAAATATCCTTCTCCGTTTTCAAATGTTTTGCCTTTTGCATTCTTTCTACAGCAGAAAGTCATACCCCAAGTGTTAGGCAGTTCCAAAATTACCATAATGCACTAACAAGAATGAAGGAATCTTCGAAACCAAGAAAGCCATGAAAGGGGCAAAATAGACATTTCAATCAGTATTACAAGTTTAGCAAAATGCAAAAGCTGAAAAGAATCTAAAAGAAAGGAACTTGCAACAATTCACTCTATTTATTTGTTTATTTATTGTCTAAAAAGACCATCTTTGTCCTTTTTAAGTGGGACATCAAACGTCTTTTTACAGAGTTGTGGAATTTCTACAACTATACCACTTGTGCTCTTTACACTTTCTCTTCACTATATTATTGTCGAAGTCTAAACTAATGCGTTCAACTAAAGCAGATGCCTTTTTCATTTTTTTTTTTTTTTTCTTTTTTTGCCACTCTCCTCTTACACACCATAAACAAATATAAATCTATGTTTTTCTTTCATTTGCTTTTATGTTGTCAAATTGATTTTGTTATCTTTGGCTTTGATAAAGCAACTCAAAACGGCATATGAGGCATTTGGTGAAGGTTGTAGAGGGTCACAATGACAATGAGCATTATGTCTAGCTTGATTATAGAACTTGTCCTAGCTCCTTTACAACCTCAAAAATCCCAAAAGATTATATAACTAAAGAAATAAGAGCTATATTCATCTTCAACTTTTTCCACACAAAAAAAAAAAAAAAAAAAAAAAAGACTAATTTGTGGATTGTGTAAAGGAAGTGAAGATCATCATATCATCAATTGCACAAATAAAGAGGCTTTTGTTGTATGCTGAGAGGAACCAAAGATAATGCTCTTTCATCTTCTGCTATACTCAATTTTTTTCTTTTTCTTCAGTTACTAAAGTTACAAGAGCAGTGCAAAATATTTCAAGTTTTGCAAGTCAGGAACTCTTTGAGGAGTTGCGTCAATGGGTTCACAAGCTGCCCCGAAGGAGGACTACAAGTTGAAGGACACGAAACCGCAGCTTGGGGAGAGATGGCCGCACGGAGGATTACGTGGTGGAGGAGGGTGGATCAGCAGCGAAAGAGCTACGAGCACTTATGATCTCGTCGAGCAGATGTTCTATCTCTATGTCCGAGTAGTGAAAGCTAAGAATCTCCCTACCAACCCTGTTACAGGAAACTGTGACCCCTACGTAGAAGTGAAGCTTGGAAACTACAAGGGGAAAACAAAGCACTTTGAAAAGAAAACGAACCCCGAATGGAACCAGGTCTTTGCTTTCTCGAAGGAGAAGATTCAATCATCCGTTGTGGAAGTCTATGTCAGAGATAGAGAAATGGTGTCAAGAGATGATTACATAGGGAAAGTGGTCTTTGACATGAATGAAGTGCCAACTAGAGTCCCACCAGATAGTCCCTTGGCGCCTCAATGGTATAGATTAGAGGACAGGCACAGTGACGCCAAGGTTAGAGGAGAAGTTATGCTTGCAGTTTGGATGGGAACACAAGCTGACGAGGCATTCCCTGAGGCCTGGCACTCCGATGCGGCCTCGGTTCATGGTGAGGGGGTTTACAATATCCGATCAAAGGTTTATGTCTCACCAAAACTGTGGTATCTCAGAGTCAATGTAATTGAAGCTCAGGATGTTGAACCGAGAGACAGAAGCCAACCGCCTCAGGCTTTTGTCAAGGCCCAAGTTGGAAACCAGGTTCTCAAAACGAAGCTCTGCCAAACAAAAACCACCAATCCAATGTGGAATGAAGACTTGCTCTTTGTGGCAGCTGAACCTTTTGAAGAACATCTGGTTCTCACAGTTGAGAACAAAATAGGCGCCGCGAAAGACGAAGAAATGGGAAAGATAACCTTGTCTCTCAACATCTTCGAGAGGAGGTTGGATCACAGGCCGGTCCATTCTCGTTGGTTTAACTTGGAAAGATTTGGTTTTGGCGTTTTGGAGGGTGATAAGAGGCATGAGCTAAAGTTCTCTAGCAGAATTCATCTGAGAGTATGTCTTGAAGGTGCTTACCATGTACTGGATGAATCAACTATGTATATAAGCGATGTAAGGCCGACCGCAAGGCAGCTGTGGAAGCAGCCAATTGGGATTCTTGAAGTCGGTATCTTGAGTGCACAAGGGCTTCTTCCGATGAAGACAAAGGACGGTAGAGGAACTACAGATGCTTATTGTGTGGCTAAATATGGGCAGAAATGGGTCAGAACAAGAACAATCACTGAGAGCTTCAACCCCAAGTGGAATGAGCAGTACACATGGGAGGTTTACGACCCTTGCACGGTGATCACATTGGGAGTTTTCGACAACTGCCATCTCGGTGGGAATGACAAACCAGCAGACTCGAGAATCGGCAAGGTAAGAATCCGTTTGTCAACCCTTGAGATGGATAGGATTTACACCAACTCTTATCCACTTCTTGTTCTGCAACCATCTGGGTTGAAGAAGATGGGCGAGCTTCAATTAGCCGTTCGATTCACATGTCTGTCCTTGGCAAACATAATCTACCTTTATGGTCACCCTTTATTGCCCAAAATGCATTACCTGCATCCATTCACAGTAAACCAGTTAGACAGTTTGAGGTACCAAGCAATGACCATTGTGGCGGTGAGCCTTGGCAGAGCTGACCCGCCATTAAGAAAAGAGGTTGTGGAGTACATGCTCGATGTGGATTCTCACATGTGGAGCATGAGAAGAAGCAAAGCAAACTTCTTTAGAATTGTCTCACTCTTCTCTGGTGTGATCTCTATGAGCAAGTGGCTTGGTGAAGTGTGTCACTGGAAGAACCCGGTCACAACAATTTTGGTTCATGTTCTGTTCTTCATACTTATCTGCTACCCTGAATTGATCCTCCCAACAATCTTCCTCTACATGTTCCTCATTGGAATATGGAATTTCCGGTTCCGGCCAAGGCATCCTCCTCACATGGACACCAAGCTCTCATGGGCAGAGGCCGTTCATCCAGATGAGCTTGATGAGGAGTTTGACACTTTCCCTACTTCAAAGCTCCAAGATGTGGTGAGGATGCGCTACGACAGGCTTCGAAGTGTTGCCGGGAGGATTCAGACAGTGGTCGGAGATATTGCAACTCAGGGGGAGAGATTCCAGGCTCTGCTTAGTTGGAGAGACCCAAGAGCAACAAGTATGTTCGTTATCTTCTGTCTGATTGTTGCTGTGCTTCTCTATGTGACGCCATTTCAGATGATTGCTCTGCTTGCAGGCATATTTTGGCTGCGTCATCCAAGATTTCGGAGTAAGCTGCCTTCTGTTCCAAGTAACTTCTTCAGAAGATTGCCTTCTTGTGCCGATAGCATGCTCTGAGAAGGCTTTGGAGTCGTTTATTCCAAGTCCTTTTATCTTTGTTGAGTTTGATATTGGGGTCATTTTTCTATTTTCTAGTATTTGTTTCTTGATTGGTGTGTTGTTTGGGAATAAAGGTCCAGAAAACATTTGCAATGGTTGTTTCAAGATTTCTTCTATCCCTAAGAATTAGATCTGATTATCGCTACCAGATTCTCGTCTCGTCAATAGAGAGAAAGCAATACATGATCCAACAGAGAATGGGCAACTTGACTGAAACAAAATGGTAATGGCAAGAAGAAATTTCTTCAAACCGGCAAATTCAAAATTATAGCCCTGCCATTGATATAGGATGCAATAATTGCTAAATTAATTGATAGAACAAATTATCCCGGAGAGTAACATCTGAAAAACTCGTCCATAAGATGTAACTTTTTTTATCAATTGGGGGTGCATCCACAACCTCCTGATCTTTCAAAATGATTTCATTTATGAAAAATCATTATGAATGGTGCTCAACACAATCGGCGCTAACGTAGGACAGTTGTTAGCATTCATTTTTTTAAGATGAGTTATTGTTCCTTATGCAAGGAGTACCAAAAAGAAAAAAAAAATTAAAAAGGGGACAAAAAACACAACACATGGAAAACAGAAATTTGATTCAATAGATGGTCCAACACGTCTACCAGACAGCCAAAACTGAAAAAAGAAGAAAAATTACTCTCTGGTCAACACAAAACTTATGTAGCTTTGCCAGTGATATAAAAATACAACCACTTATAATTTAAATCAAACAAGTTCAATTCAAGATAGAAAATTGCCCTAATATGGGAAATAACTGAAGCATACTCTAAAAGACAAGCTCGTGAGGCTTCATGCCCAACTTAAGAGAAAACCTAGCTGCCAAATAAGTTTTCAAGTCTGGTACTGCTTCAATTGATTTTATCAATGCGGCATCCACAGCCTTCTGGTCATCTTTCTTTTCTTGTGGAAGCTGGTTCTTTTCCTACGGTTCATAGCGGTATAAACAAAGATAACATAAGAACCAAATAATGTGGAAAGAAAGAGAGATATGAAAAGTAACATGAAAAGGCAAAAGTAAAGATCCAAGCAGGCATGAAAATGTTGTATCAAGATCACGTTCCCAAAACAGTAGCAAGAGGTGATGAATTTGATGGAAACAAACAACGAAGATAATCAACCTCTTTCTCTGCGTCAAAAAACTCTCCTTCTCCCTTCTTTTTCTTCTTTTCAGCTTCCTTGGCGAAGTACTTGTCATCAAACTTCTCTACATTTAGGCCCAAAATGTCAACCTTGGTGGAAGTTCCAATCACATAGGATTGGTTCACACGTCTCAAAGGAACCCCATTAATATTGAATGGTCCTATATGCATAAAACCACAAATCAACAATCAATAAACCAATACAAAAAGGCAAGCAGTAACATGATTTCACCTCCAAGAAGCATTTACACATACACTTTCCCATCGTTATGAATTGTTATCATCCCTAAAAAAAAAAATATATATATATATATATATATATATATTTTTAAAAAGAAGAAAAGAAAAGACACCCACAACAAGATGGTAACAAACAGAAACCCAATTCACAATTAGCTCTTTCTAACTGAACTCGAATGACCCAATGCATGAACTAGAGCATGTTAGAGGCTAAATGTCTGCCACTCAAGAATGTTAAACACTTAAAAAGTAATCAAAAGAGAAACTTTAACCACATTGATCAGAAGTATTATAAAGAATACAGTTATACAGAACAACAATTAGTTTCCAATGCTAGTTCTTCATTGATTAGAAATCCCCCAATATATCAACCTAAAACCATATGAACAAAAAATCGGTTCATCCCAGTCCATTTGAGCTTAGAACAATCACAAATTAAATCAACTGGGAATACTTAGAATCACGTATATACAGTACATTTCCTATATACTCTAACATTTAACATTATGAAAAACACAAGAAATGCAGAACACATTTAATTCAAGTTGCATTTAATATAAAAAAAAAAAAAAAACAACGAAAAACAAGTTTTTTCACCAATAACTGAAAGAGAAAAACAAAATCAGAAAAGCTGACCTGTGACCAGAAGAAGCCCAGACGAGAGCTGCTTCAAGAAGACCACTCTTTTGCCCTTAAACCTTCCGGCGAGGATAATCAACACCGTCCCAGGCGTGATACTCGCTCTGATTTTCACCAAATCAAATCAGAAAAACAAAATGAGCCTTAAAAGAATAAAAAAAACCTAAACAATCAAAAACCACATTTCGAACCAAATAAAGCAAAAAAACCTGAGCTTGGTGGGCTTGTGCTTGCGCTTGTTAACGAGCGGCTTCTTGACGTCGTCGGCGGGGTAGAACTTTGGCGGCTTCTGCGGCGGTGCCTCGGCGGCTGGCTTGGCGTCGTGGCGGGGAAAAACGCCGCCGTTTTTGGTCTTGATGGCCCAGAGGCCTCTCTTGTGGTACATTTTGGAGCGCGAGTACTTTCCCACGCCCCGGATCAGGTCGGGGTTCCGGCTCTTCCGGGGGTTCCTCACCTTCTTCGCCGCCATTGAAGCTTCCTGAGATTTTCGTCTTCTGCTTCCGAGTGTGATGGAAATAAAACCCTAATTCACTCTGTCTACGCTGACATTTAATTATTAGGGATGTTTTTGAATTTTATTAGGGATTTTTTTGTTTTTCCCGGTTCGGTGGCATTTTCGTACTTTTGATTTGTGATTGCTTTTTGGTTTTTAGAGTTTCGCCCCTTATATTGTGATATTCAAATTCGAGGATTTATGACAGGCCCAGCCCAGCCCATTTTCTTGTAGTTACGGCCCCGGTAGTATAGACCTCTTTTCAGCCCATAAAGAAAACCATGTCTATGAGGCGCTGCGCTAGTAGGTTGTTTGTCCGAAATATGGACAGCGAATTAGAACAGTAAATCCAGTAAAAAGAAACCTATTCTTCAAAAAGAAAATATAGCAAATAACATAGTTTACACATGCTATTGAACTTTATAGCATTTTTTTAACAGGTTCTCATTTCTTTTGTTTCTCACTTAGTCAACTGCCTCTCTCTATCTCTCTCTTTGTCGTCAGTTGCGTCGTCATTGGTGTCGATAGTCGGTAACCTATAAATACTATAGTTCCAGGTTATTTATGAGTAAATACTATATTTGTCGGTCGCTGAATTTAGGTGTCGACTGGCCATATCTACGGATGAATATTGTATTTATTAGTTTTCAATATCAACGATATTTCTGGGTAAATACGTCAGTCGCCGGCAACTGTGTCCAATTTACCGGTCATCGGCATTGGTGTACCTGACTATAGGGGGGAAGGAGAGAGGGAGTGGGAGGAAAGAGTTGAAGGGTAGTTTTGAATTTTTAATAGTGTTTGGAGCCTAAAATATTAAGGGAAAATGCACCAATTAACATATTTTTGAGGTGCAAATGAATTATATAGCATAGTTTTTAAAGTTAGTAAATTATAGCATATTTGTTGATTTCATTTTTAAATAAATTGTTCTTTTTCATTTTTACCCTTATAGGGTTTTCTCCCCATGAAACCTCTCAGCCGCCACATCAAACAGCTCAGCCTCCAGGAACATAGATCGCGATTCCGATCTCCGGGAACTCGCGATTTCACCGCCTCCGCCGCCGATTGTCTGCACCTTCTCCGGTGGGACCTCGAACCAGATCCGGCAGAAATACGGCAATGGAGATCTCAGTGATCTCGCTTTCTCCGTGATCTCGGTTGAGTCGCGACGGCGAAGGCGTCACCAAGCTTCGTTTCAGATCTGCACCAGCCTTCTCCGACCGCTGATGTGCTCGCGTCACGACGTTAACGAGCTGCACGAGCCTTCTTCTACGGTCGCTACTGTGCTTGAGTCATGACGCCGGCGAGACCAGCCTTCTTCTCCGGCATGCCAATAATGGGGAACCGAGAGACTGGTTTATTAAAAATATTTATGTAATATTTTTTACAAAGTAAATGTAAATATAGTATTGTTTTGTTTGTGAGTTTTAGATTAATTTGGTTATGAGCTTGTGACTTTTGGATATGAGATTGTGATTTTTTTTTCTACTAATTTGGTAAATACATTAGTTTTTTTTTTTTAAGGAAAGATTTGATAAATACGGTATTTATTGGTTGTTGGAATCAGTTGCTAAATTTTTAGATAAATATGATAAGTATATTATTTATCAATAAATATGTTATTCACCGATAAATATAGTATTTACTGGTCACCGGAGCCTGTCGTTGAATTTTTGAATAAATATAGTAAATATGGTAACTATGGTATTTAATGGTTAATACAATATTTACTAGTCATCAAAGCTTCAATAAATATGATAAATATGGTATTTACCGGTAAATACAATATTTATCATATTTGTGTTATTTTCATAAGTAAGTTTGAAATCGAGTTTGAACCTGGTAAACACTGTATTTACCAATAAATACATCAGTGAATAACTTTGAACCTGGTAAATACGGTATTTACTAGTGGCCAGAGCCGGTCGTCAAATTTTTAGATAAATATGGTAAATATGGTATTTATTAGTTGCCGGGGCCGATTGCTGAATTTTCAAATAAATATGGTAAATACGATATTTACTAGTCGCCGGAGCCGATCCCCATATTTTCAAATAAATATAATAAATATGGTATTTCCTAACAAATACAATGTTAAACGATCGTCGAAATCGGTGCCTAAAGTTTTAGATAAATATGATATTTACTAGTACATACAATATTTACTAGTAAATACAGTGTTAAACGGTCACCAAAGTCGATAACCGGATTTTTGGGTAAATATGATATTTACTAGTAAATATGAAATTTATTGGTAAATACAATATTTATTTGTAAATACAGCGTTAAACGGTCGCCAGAGTCATTATTCAGCTTTTCAGATAAATATGGTATTTACTAGTAGTAAATACAGTATTATATAGTAAGTATGGTATTTATCAGTAAATACAATGTTAAACGGTCACTGGTCACCAAAAAATGGTCACAAGTTGCCAGAAAATGATTTTCGGTCCCCAGAGCCAATTGCCGGTCCCGGCCATGGTGGACTTGACTATACCTGTCTATTTTAAAGAATATGCTATAATTAACTATTTTTTTAAAAAAAAATAGATGTTTAGAGGGGAAGAGTGAGGTAGAATAAGAGGTTTAGAGATATTTTTAGGTTTTTAATAATATTTAAAACTTAAAATATCAAATTATACTATAATTTATTATATTAAAAAAATATGCTATAATTTACTAATCACTTTACCAATTATGTTATTTCCCTCATTATCCCAATATTAAATTACGCTATATCTACTCGTTCTAAAAAATTATGCTATAATATACTAAGCACCATATCAAATATTCTATTTCATTCCTTCTCCCTTTTCGTGTTTTAGTAAATTATATATATATATATATATTACAATAATATAAGTAAATAACACTTATAGATAATTATTTACTAGGCATAAATGATTTATTTATTGTTATATACTTAGTATAAATAACTTATTTACGCAGGGTTTAAAAACATTTATTAGTAAATATATTGCTATTTACTACAATCCTCTTCAAAAATATTTTTGAAATATGTTATTTTCCTTTTTATCTCAAATCAAAAATAGAAATTTATTCCCTTTTTAAACATAATAACATTTATGCAATCATTTTCCACTTTATAAATTAACTTAAGAGGCCAAAATTGTAAGAAAAATGATACAAAATTAAAGAAGTGCGTTAAGAGAATTCAGGGTTTAATTTCTCATAATATTTATTGTCAATAAGCAAAAAATACGTGGTGGTTGTATCTCTTAATAGGCTTTTATCTCTAATTTTTTTTAGTAAAACCGCTAATAGGCTTTAAGGATATCATGGCACACTATGATAAAGTGAATCCTTTATTAACTGTTTTTTGTTTTTTTAATATAAATGGAGTGATGGAGCAAAGAGTAAGAAATCCTAGAATATATTAATTAGACGGTCCATTTCAAATTCTTGAAACTAAATTTAATTTTATGTGTATTTCACTACAATTTTTTTATTTGCTATCTTTCTTGATTTATTTTGATAAATTATTACCTCAATGACAAGATATTATTATATATTATCCTTTTAGTCTGTAGTCACCTACTCTAGTGCGTGTGTGCATATATCATGTAGGAGAGAGAAATTGAGCTTAAATTTTTGCTTTTTTTTTTTTTTTGTTTTGTTTTTTTCTTATTCTTCTTCACGTGAATATATATCTCTTATTTTAAAAGATGGAAATGCCAAAATTCCTAGCCAAAGGCTGGCTAATTAGTAGCTTGTCTTCATCTTCACCTAATTATAAACAAAAGGAACTTGCATGCAACAAAACCCTAACTACACATGGACATTTCGAGCGTTAACTTTCAACACCCGGCTTCTCAGATATTCCACAAAAGACATTTAGTAGAAATCCGCTTCTTAAATTTCCCTTAATTAATTGTCCATGCCAAACTTTTTCTTCTTCCTTTTCAAACCCTCTCTATATCCTACTTGGTCAGAGAGGGCCGCCATGCCAATTGATAACATTTTCCATTTATATATATATATATATATATATATATTAATGGGATCGAATACGTAAACAAGAAAATAAAAGATATAAAGGAGTGAGTAATTAAATTCTACTTCTTGGAAAGTGATCTACATATAATCGTCTAGTGCTATACATTATCTCTATATTTGTGTGAAAGAAATATTGAAAGGGAAATTAACTATTAAATATTAAAGATATGCCAACTAATAATGACTTAAGAATAGTAAAAGACATCTGATTAGCTTGAAATATTGGCTTTAGGTTTTTAGAATTAGCTTTTCTATTCATTCCTGCCGAGTACGAGCCAACCATAGAGAGCTGAGAGCTCGGAGACGATGGAAGTACTCGGCAATTGCTAGCAAACATCTCGCGGCTTGGCGGGTCGTCAAGATTTGGTGCAGCCGGTGAATGGTCTGGTGCCTCAGATTATCGGCCTGTAGAAGTCATTAAATTTATTCTTAGTCTCAATAATTAGAGAATAACCAAATAAATTAATTGTATTATTGCCCTCAAATTCTTATTAAGGTCTAATCTTTCTTGAAGGGCAAACGGTTAACCTAGATGAGCAAAGAAATGATAATTAAAGACTTTTTGGTTAGCTTGTGGATTTAAACTTCTCGCGTTTCTAATCATGTAAAATTAGTCGGAGTTTAGTCATAATAAGAGATTTGATTAATCACAAACAGCCAAAAGAATCAGTTGTTAGACGAAATGAAAATTTTCTAGGTAGGTTAGTCGTGTGGTAGGTTTTACTTTTACTTAACATTTTGCCCCCCCCAACTGAAAGGAAAGTTCAAAAAGAAATGTATTTACACGCAAAAACGTAAAGAAAATATTATTGCTGAATTGAATTAATTATAAATTTCTTGACAAACTACCTTTTCACGAAAAGTATTCTAGATTATAATGAGCACTCTAAGAATTAATGTAGACAACTTATTCATACTGAAACAATGAAATTAAGCTAAAAAATAAGTCAGCTTGAAAAGCATATATATTAATAGAGGTCAACCAAAGAAATAAACTGGCATTGCGATAGGTGACATTTAACGTTTTCTTATAACGACAATGACTCTTCTTTCAATACCCAAGTTTTTGATTCGATAATATCCTAATTAAGGTCCAAATCATGAGTGATTATTCAAAGTAGTAGTTCTGTTTCTCCATTATTAATATTCTATATGGTGGGGCCTATATCACTATCATTATTTAGAGGGAGGACTTTCTTAATTTAAAATTATGAATACGTTAGTAGACGTTTAATTTATGGATTTAAAATTATGATTCAGAATCATTTTTAATTTATGTGTATTTTTTATGAGAAAAAATACTGTAATAAATCACGAATTATAATTCAAATTATGATATGAATTCTTTACTAAACACTTTCTTAGTTAAAAAATAAAGAATTAATGATAGTTTATTAATTCTAGACGAGAGTTTTTATGGAGAAATCTCAAAGAGAAAAAGAAAAGAAAAACAAAATAAATGAAGGAAAAGAGGCCAAATATGGATATGCACAAGTTGCTCAAACACGTGCAATTATGGCAAAATTCCGATTGCGTATGTGTGTGTGTGGGGGGGATGTTGTGGAGGGTTTTTCCTTAACTGAGGTATGCCTATTTTTGATTTAGCACAAAATGGTCAGAAACGAATTATGTTTTTTTCAGGCTTTCTAAGTCAAACGGTTACGACTCTGAGATGATGACATCACAAGATATGGTCCCAAAGGCCATCATTTGGATGGAGATGGACATGATGTGTGGGGACCATCATGAACATTATATTCTCGTGCAACGTGTACGGATTTGATGCTTGTGACTTGTGAGTCATCACTAGATAGTTGTGAAACCAATCAAGGATGAGTCTTATAAATGTGAACCAAGGGCGATTAGAAGAAGATTCGGTTTATCAATTTAAATTTAAAATTTAAGTTTTATTATAATAAAAAATTTTAAAAAATAATCATATTTAATTTTTTTTTATTATAATAAAATTTTTTTACATAAAATTATATTTTAATTTAAATTAATAAAGACTATAATTATGGGTTAGCTAATGGCATTAGGGGCAAAATAAATATATTAGAAGCTCTGAACACAACCTCAAAAAAAATCCACTTGCATACTAGGTGCTTAGCGATGTAGAAGGATAATCTCCTAGAAATGTTACGTTTTGCGTGAAAACTTTATTTAACTAAATTTCAAAACTTCATTAATTACTAGACTTTTTTTTTTTTTTTTTTTCCCGGTAATAAACAAAAGTTCAGAAAGGAGGCAGACGTTAGCTTATCTCTAGGATCAGTATTGTTGAGCCTTGCCCCTCAACAAGAAGCTAGCGCACCATCCCAACCCCATCCCCATCAGAAGTGTTGGCGGTTAAATAAAGCAAGATGATGATAGTCTTGTTCCCTCACCGATAGACTATGCCGTCTAACTCGCTGGGATTAACTATCAGACACACATACATATATACAAGACATGGGTTTATGATGTAGAAATGTCGCTTTCCATACATGAATTATGTTAAGCCTCGACATTTCATGAGAGGGGGCGTATATATATATGTAGGGTTCGTTTGGTTGGAGGATTTAAATCATGTGATTCGAATTATTTTCGATTTATGTGTATTTTTTATGAGAAAAAATACTATAACAAACTACGAATCATGATTCGAATCAAAGAACGAATCCCTCTACCAAACGTCCCCGTAGATTCCATGTAACCACCGATTCTCCTCTTGAGAGCAAGACATGGAGTGGTTCATGGATTGGTGGTAGGTATCCCAACCCAAACAGGCACATATTCCTGTTCCTTGGGCCCCACGTTACTCAGAAACATGATCATAATATGGAGGACCACAAACTGATAGCGACCCCTAATAAAAATAAAACTCCCTCATATATATGTTCACATGTACTAATTAAACACGATTCTTATTAATTTCCTTTTCAATCAATATTATTCTCTTATTATCATACCAAATATTATTGACTTTATTAGTTTTTAAGTCATATTTGAATTATATATGGACATGCGTACCTGTCTGACAAAACCTTCAAGAGTGGAGAGCTTGTTCATGGCGAGAGCCATTTGTCCCATGTAGTTGGCCATGTTTGGAGGACAGCTTAAGGAGTCGGAGGTTATGGTGTCCGAAAGAGACTGATTCAGAGCTTCAAGCCCTTGAGAAAGAGCTTCTTCAGCCTCTTGTGTCGACTGTTGTAACCCGCATATACCCAATATTTGTTGCTCCGTCAATGGCTCTATTTGACTCGGAATAATCTGAAACAAAACAATCACAATATGATAAAATATATTTTTAGAAAAAAATTAAGAAAGCAGATTTCTATAGTAGGGCTTGAGAAAATAATTATAAACTGTATGTTTTATATACTTTTTTAATTTAATGTGATACCTAACAGTTAGAAATATGAATTACAATCCGAAAAACTCTAATAAAGTGTAACATGTTAATTAAAATGGACACTACAAGATAATGTTACTTTCATAATATTCCGCGTTCACCAAAACTTTTTTTGTCATATGTGATATATGGGGTATAACGTAAAGTACTAGAGATATGGGTCTTTTCTTATTTATTTGCTAGAAACCAAATGGAGAAGAAAACCAAGGTTTTGTTTCCATATATATGAGAGTTCGAAGAATGAGAGAGGCACATGTATATAGAGCAAGAGAATTAACCGTGCAAATTCTCCTTCTCTAACTCTCTCTTTCAAAACCAGAAATTATATTGTATATATAGTAACATGATATATATAGCTTTATTGAAATGATACCTAACTTGACCCGATTGAGGAAAACTTCACCATAAAACTTTCGTCATTAATTGATATATTCACGCTGAGATCTCTCTAGCCCCATGCCCACCGCCAACTTGCACCCATGCATTTAACTAATTCTATACTATAGTACCCCTCGTTCGACACTTCTTACTACCACATCATTTCCTATACATATATATACATGACACACACACACACACACACACACATATATATATATATATATATATATATAGCTTCACGTTTTGTTTTCATCTTTTTCTTCGGAAGAGGCCATTATTTATAATTTTGAAAGCCAGCTAGCAAGGTTTTCTTAGTGATGCAAATGATGAGTATTTGAAAACAAGAGTAATTATAATTCTTTTTTTTTTTTT